ATGTTATAGAAAGGTAGCATATTCTTCTCAATTATTTTCAGACCCTGAGTGTTGGTCCGGCCGGGGCTCGAACCCTCGACCTCCCGCACAATAGTCCAGTGCTCTATCCATTGAGCTAACCGGGAGGCGGTTATACGACTTGCTTTTTCACCACGCTTTTTGCTTTCAATGCAGTGCGGTAAAAATAATCTACAATTTCAGGAGAAGCAAAAGCTTCAATACACGCTGGCACTGCTATACGGGGTCGAACAATTTCACTTAGATCTCTGCAAATGAAAAGTGACAAAAAATTCCTATCAATGAAAGGATATTGAATATTTGGCTTTCAGCCTGCTGAGAAATACTGCTTAGTCCAAGACTTACATGTATTTTGGTTTACTTCATTCGCACTTACATGTACAGCGAGAAAAAAATAGTTAAAATATTTGACAATCACTCCTCAAGGTATAGGGATTGAGGGGTTTCTTGCTTGGAGCTGACAGTGCTAGCTAATAATAGCACTTGTTAATGATAGGTGTATGGATTGCAAAAGTGACGGCAGGAGAAAGAAAAGTGCCCTAATGAATTTTAGTAGGGACCATAGGAAATCCTGGAAAGTGACGGAAATGAGAGACTGGCGAAAAAAGTATTCAATTGGTAAAACTAAATCTTTTCCAATACGTTTTTAAAATATATCCTTTTCGTAGGTGTCGTTCAAAAACAAAAATTTAAAATTTCCAAATTTTGGCTGGTACAAGAGCAAGAGCCACGAAGGCGAACTCTTTTACGTCTTCATTTGGACTAAACACTGCTCACAGTTGTTACGTTAAAGTAGGTGAACACCAAGAGCCACTAAAAAATTCATTACTTTTAATGCAAAGTTCCCCTGAGCGTCGCCGTTGTGGCTGCTTCAGTTCCTTTCACGTTGAAAGAGAAAGATCAAAAGTATACGAAGGAAATTTGTCACCTTTATTCAGTACAGCTTCCATCGCTATTGATAATGACAACAATGGATCCTCCTGGCTGTTGTGTTGTGAGGTGAATTGAAAGTTGTTGTTTTGAGACTTTTCTAGTTAAGCCTTTTGTTTTGTTAATCCTTGCCTGTTGCGTCGACGTGTTGTTATGGTAGATTTATGTTTTTATTGGCTCAGCTCACGGATTTCCTTGTTGCCGTGTTAAACATTTAGACAATTAGACAGTTTCACAGTTGGTCGTGTTTGCGTTCGTAAAGCTGACCTTGAGTTCTACCAACACTGAAGTTCCTGTTTGTGTGCGCAATTCTTGAGCGCAGGTGTTAGCGTTCAATTGGTTTGTATGCGCAATTCCCGTGCGCAGCTGTTAACGTTTAATTGGTTCCTTGGTGCTCGCCAAGTACTTCGGTGAGGGCCAACCAGTTTCCCCCTTTTTGCAAAATAAACGGATACACTGTGGAAACTCTCACGGTCAGCTAACCCAAACACGTCTACGGTTTTCCTACTTAAAGCGTTAGTACCTCTCGCATGATTATTGGATGCGTAGAGCATTAGATGCACAGAGTATTAGATGCATAAAGCGTTGCTGTAATAGCTCTCCATAAGAGAAGAAAAGAAGAAAAGTACAGATTCTTGGCACCTCTCGTTAATTCGGCCGAGCGAGTCGTAAAACCCCGCAACAAATTTGGTGGAGGACCCGTCGTCAACAAAACCGGTGGAGCACACGTTATCTACAAGTTGGTAAAGGACGCTTTTGGAATCCCTACAATTGTGAGTGGAACTTCGCTTTTATCAGCATGCTTTTCCGTTGCAAGTTAATTTGACTTTCTAAATCTGAGGAATAGCCGAGTTCTTTTATAATGATCTAGTTAGCGTAGAATGTAACAGTTTATTTAGTGTATAGGTCAGTTAGCTTCTAATTTGATTATCGCTGTTAATGATCAATTTCAAGGTTTGGATTTTCAATTACGTGTCTGTAACATTTTCTCTTTATTAGTACCGTTTTCGATTACGTAGCTTGGGAAATGTGGCTGATGTAGTATCTCTTAAATATTCATCCTGATTACTAAGCAGCGAGCGCGAGACCTGGCGAAAAAAAGCCGTTCGCCAGGAAAATTTAGCTGTGAGTTTGGGTTCGAATGAGTGGCCAGCCCCTCCTCCACCCGTTCAGCAATCTAGAGTACCATTCTTTCGCTCACTTTTTAAATCAGCTAATAGATCGCCGAGGGCTGAAGCACAATCAAAGGCGTTCAGTGGGATTCCTACTCCAAATAAATGTTCTCTAGTTTCTTCTTGTACCGGTAGTCAAAGTTCTGACTCCGAAGAAGATCTTATTTATGAGAGCGGCAAGACCAGAGAAAATCTTTCCGGTCGTGAAAATGTAAGCAAAGATTCTCTCGAAGCTCGAAATGACTTGGTTGTTAATAATCGACATAATTCTTTAGACTCAAATCAATTGTCTCTTGCACCAGCCTATGCAGAAATGGAAGACCAAGTTAGTCAGTTATGCCAAGCAGTCGAACGAATGCAAGCTTCGGTTAATTCACAAAATAGACGTCAGTTATGTTTCCAATTCTTAGAGGTGACGAATCCGAAGACGCTCATGGATTTGTTAGGAATTATAAGAGGGCCGGTAGACTAAATGGTTGGGACAACGATAGTTTAGCATTAGAGCTTCCTCTTTATTTAAAGGGCTACGCTAGCGCTTGGTTTAAAACTTTACCGAGGGCCGACGAGATGTCTTTCGAAGAGTTGTCTGAGAAATTAATCACGCATGTTGCCTCCATTGCTAGTGAGTGGCGCGTAAGACAGGCGCTAGGGCAACGACGGCAATTAGAGAAAGAATCGGTCGCAGATTTTATGCCTATATAGCCTTCGAACACATTGTCCGAGAATTAATCTGCCTAGTTCTGAGTGGACACACTATTTTGTCCAGGGTCTCATTCCCGAGAATCGCGAGTACGTTGTTTTGCAACAACCTGAAAATTTGGAATCAGCAGAAAACTTCGCTAAGCTAAAAGAGTCAGTATTACAAGGGTCGAGTAAACGCGTAGAATTTAACCCTAAGGAGGTATCAGCGCAAATTTTTGGAAGAACTCTCGAAAGCAATTAACCCTAAGGATAAGTCAATTAGTGCTGTAGGTTTAGCTCTAGGTCAAAATCCTTACGTGAATAAGTCCGAGATGAAACAAATTATTAGAGACGAATTTCGCGAGTGAATGGGAAGTATTCCTTATATTAGACCCGGTACGAATGATGCACGATCCTCGCAGTAGAGAGCGCTATTTATGCAATAGCGAAAATCAGACCTGAAAAAAATAAATCAATAATAAATCAACTTAACGGCCTGCTCCCAGTTGGCTTGTTAGCTCAATTGGTGGTTCGAATCCCGTACAGGCCTGATTTTTTTCAGGTCTGATTTTCGCTATTGCATAAATAGCGCTCTCTACTGCGAGGATCGTGTATCACTCGTATCTATAACCGCAGTTCAAAATATATGAACTTCATATTTTCATCGTATCTGATTAGACCCAGTGGTTATAATCAGCGCTCAAACCAGAATTATCAGTCCAGGAGTTCCCGGTCTCGTTTTGGCGATGCTGTTTGTTTTAATTGTGTTGTCGCTCTAAAACCTGATCCTAGAAATTTTCGCCGTGGGGGTGGTAGACAAAATTTTTATAAAAATAGGGGTCATAATGCTTCTCAGTGGTAGTCTAAGACGCAGGGAAACTGAAAAGTGCTCCTGTATCGCTAGAAAATGAAGCCGTGATGGGGGCGTCAAATACTCTACAAAAGCCTTTAATGAAAGTTGTAGACCGAAATTTATCGGGAGAAGCGTGCGATGCTAAAAAACTTGCTTTCAGTAAAGCCAAGCCTGCCGATATTTNGTCTGTTCGAACCAGAGGAAGACCTTCATCAAGTATTGCATTGTGGGATGGGGACTTCCCGTGGTTGTAGTTAGTTTATGCACTGTGCTTGACTTCACAGGATCATTTCATGTCGGATATGGTTTGTACTGACAAGTCTTGAACTTAAAATAGTTACATGTACTGTTTCCCGTTGATAAGCAGAAATAGGAGGTTCAATTCACTTCCAACAGCCATGTTTACGCCAACATATCCTTATAATATTGTTATTAGAACACCCGACTAGTATCAGGGAGACACGGGTTCATGTTCCGTCGTATTTATGAATGTTTTCGGGCTTTTCTTCAACAATTGCAGCTCACCTACGAGGATCGATCATTGTTTTACTTAATCTCAACCCGCAGGTCAATTGAAATTGAATTCATTCCAAATTGTGATCAGCTTATCATCGTTGACAAAGTTTTGCTATCCTCATTGGGCAAACTTGCTTTTCTAACCAATTTTAAGAAATAAGTTAAACGAGTAAAATTTCTCCTTGTATTTAATTGACAGGTAAATCGAAATACTGCTGGATATCAGACAACACAGCAGTGATTGTTGTTATGGTTACCCCAGTGAGCCTTGCTCTGGTTTTAAATATAACTTGTCTGACGAAAAATCTCTATGACATCCATCAGTTACAAAAGGTATGTATTAGGACGAATACGTCTTGATGAGGGACTTAATAAAACAACTGTTTGATCTTAGACTTAAGGATTGTGGGAGAGATTCCAGAGTCAGAAAGTAGCATTAAAAATTAGAGGGCATAATGGTCAAGATCTTCAGTACAGAAACCTGTTTAGAATTTACAATACGTTCGCTTTGGAATTTTCCTTAACATTTCTTTTGCATATTTTTTATTTGCTAGTTGAATAAATCAGAAAAACTTTTGTTCGTTTGTGTTTTTTGTTAACCTTAGGGTGCCAGTCTAGCAGCAAACAACTCCAAGGCTTCTCTGATCCTCATCTGTATCAAGCTGACCACAGTCATGGGTCTGACCTGGGTACTGGGACTTGCTGCTAACTGGAAACAAACTGAATTTCTTCACTACCCATCCACCCTGATGAACAGCATGCAAGGTGCTTTTTCAAGTTTGATTTTTGAAGTATCGAGGCACACGTGTGTGCGTACTAGCATTTGTGTCTGTCCACAATCCCTATTCAAATTTTCCCAAAAATGAATGACTTCTATAGAGTTTATTAGCGAGAACAAATCTCTCCGTAATGTAAACAAAATCTAGTGATTCCACGATATAATTTTGTAAAGCATGAGGGGGCAGTTGTAAAATTATGCTACCCCAAAAACATTTTTCGCCTAGCGAAATCCTGATGAAATTAATTATCTGCGGAAAAATTACGAAATGGATAC